AACCCAGGGCCTCAGGCATGCAAGGCAATCACTCTACCACTGAGCCACCTTCCCAGCCCAACTTGGTGATTTTTATATTGTAGTTGTGTTATCTTTTTTTCTGGGAGTAGGACTTAAACTCAGATCTTTTTGACTCTTAAGAAGGCCATCCCACAGCAGTAAAACATTAGCTTCTTGCTCCAATATGCATAAATACAGAGCTTAAACAATACATGAGATTAAAGATGATACTTTTTGGAAATGTGACAATCTTGATAAAAAGGTTTAAGAGTAGCCACATTTGAAACATACTTGCCTTTAAGGCTCATTATGTGACTTACTCTTTTTATTTACCTTTATTTTTTTAAATAGGGTCTCCTGTGTATAGCCCAAGCTGATCTCAAACTCACCATCCTCCTTCATGTCCCTCATGAGTGCTGGGATTACAGAAGTGTTCTACCACGCCTGACTAGAAAATCAGATTTTGTGTGTTTTTGTTTCGTGGTGATAGGGATTGAACTCAGGGCCATTGGATATGCTAAGCAAAGGCTCTTTTTAAAAGTGTCAGAAAATTGTCCTAGAAAATTTTTGTTTGAGCCGGGTGTCAGTGGCTCATGCCTGTAATCCTAGCTATTTAGGAGGCTGAGATCTGAGGATCACAGTTCAAAACCAGCCTGGGCAAGAAAGTCTGTGAGACTCTTATTTCCAATTAACCACCAGAAAACCGGAAGTGGCATTGTGGCTCAAGGCCCTAGCCTTGAGCTGAAGAGCTTAGGGACAGTGCCCAGACCCAGAGTTCAAGACCCACAACCGACAAAAAAAAGAAAAAAGAAAATACTTTGTTTGAATACTGCTTTTAAATGTTTTCTACTCTGAGGTGTTTTGTGTGTGTGTGTGTGTGTGTGTTTGTGTTGGTTGTTCAGGGCTTTGTGCTTGCTTAATTGGTCAGCACTCTACCACTTGAACTATACCTCCAGCCCAGCCTTTTGCTGGTTAGTTGGAGATTGAATCGGTTGGACTTTTCTACCCAGGGTGGCAGAATTCCTCAGACTACATCCTCTTGAGTAGTGCTTGCCTTGCATGCATGAGGCCCTGGGTTTGATTTCTCAGCATCACATAAGCAGAAAAAGCCGGAAGTGGTGCTGAGTGGTAGAGTGGCTCAAGTGGTAGAGCACTTGCCTTGAGCTGAAGAGCTCAGGGACAGCACCCAGGCCCAGAGATCAGGCTCCACGACAGATTAAAAAAACAAAAAAAGTATCTTCTTTATAGCTGGTAATTTTTCATAGGATTCTTCATAA